CCAGGAGGTGCTGATGGGGGTCCCCAGTGCATCCCCCCCATCTCCCCCCCTCCTCGCCTCCCCCCCGGGATGTGCAGCTCCATGCACGGCACAGGAATCGGGCCCAGGGCAGGCACGGGGGCGATGAAACCACTGTGATGCTCCTTCTGGGCGCCCTGCCCCAAAAGCCCAGGTCCCCGTGCCACCAACCGGAGCATCCCCCTGCCCACGCCTGGATCGGGCCCTAATCTCTGCGCCTGCCCCACACCAGCCACCGGCCACGCTGTGGCATTTTGGCTAATTAGCATTAATTTCACTGTTAGGCAAGCAGCGCAATGCCCTTACAGGGGATTCCCCCTCGCCGGGGGCTGCAGTGGGAAGAATGTGGCTGGAAATGCCGTGGGGCTGAGGCAAGGGGCTGTGAGCCAGGATGGGACCCGGGGACAGGCAGGGGCCCCGTGGGACGGCTGGCGAGGCAGCATTGCCGGCTCAGAGGGGGTCCTTCCTCCGAGACCCACCTGGGTGGCACCCGCGGGGGGTCCATCCCCAGCTCCCAGCCCAGAGGTCCCAGGCTGGGGTCACCTCTCTGCCCTGAGCACCAGCAGAGCCAGGATGGGTCCCTAACCCTGAAAGAGCAGGATGCACAGGGCTGGGAAACCCACTCCCTGTGGGGAGCCCAGGGAGGGGGTCCAGGGAGCACCCCAAGAGGCAGGGCTGGGGGTCTCCAAGGACCCATCTCTGAGCCTGGGCTGGCTGCGGCTGCTGAGCTGAACAGGAAAGGACAATTTTGGGAGCTCAATCCCAAAACCAGCACTGGGAGGGAGAAACCCCGACCATCCGTGTGGATTTTAACCAGCTGATGCAGTTAAACCCCAACCATCCGTGCTGATTTTAGCCAGCACGCTGCGACCTGCCAGGACAGGGATCAAACCTCCAGCATCGCCGAGAAACACCCCGAGCCAAGACCCCTCCAGCCACCCGCCACGCTGGGGAGCTCAATCCCAAAACCAGCACTGGGAGGGAGAAACCCCGACCATCCGTGTGGATTTTAACCAGCTGATGCAGTTAAACCCCAACCATCCGTGCTGATTTTAGCCAGCACGCTGCGACCTGCCAGGACAGGGATCAAACCTCCAGCATCGCCGAGAAACACCCCGAGCCAAGACCCCTCCAGCCACCCGCCACGCTGGCCCCACTTTGGCCCCGCTTGCCCCCAGCCCCGCTCTCAGCCGTACAAGCATGCCGGTACAAGCAGAGGGAGCAAGGCCACCATGGATGGGCTTCAAGCAAAATGAGTCGCAGACTCGGCTCTTATTTAAAAATCTTATTTAGGCAGATTTAAAAAAAAAAGAAAATAAGGTGGAAATTCATGGAAAATGCAGATAACCACCCGGAGGGAGGAAATTGAAAGCAAAGGCTGCAAGTTTTGGGGTTTTTTTTGCTCTGTGCCTAAGGAATGTGTGTGTTTGGGAGCAGAGGGCACGGAAATATTGTGCCCAGCACTGCAAGAGCTGGTTACTCTGCTACAAGGAAATTAAAGGCAATGAGCACCCTGCTCGCCCAGGAGCACCCACTGCACCCCGGCAATCCTGGCAGGGTGGGTGCTGCCACCCTCCAGGCAGGGAAGGGAGGCAGGCAGGTCCCCCTGGGAAGTGGGGGGCAGAGCAGCAGGTACCCGGGCCCCTGCCCGTGCAGGACCAGCCCGGCTGCCACCACAGGAGCCGGCAGCGCTGCCAGAAACCCTGACCCGGGAAGGGCCTGGCTTCCCAGCAGCTCCTCCGTGCCCACAGCGCTTTGCAAAGTTTAACTGCAGCACCAGGTCCCTGCCGAAATGTCACCCACGGGCACGTGTCCCTGAGTGCGGGGGGCTGCGGTGCCAGGCTAAAAGCATCGCCCTGCGCCCAACACCCTGTCCCTGTCCCCAGGCCGGGCGCAGGTCTGCAGCACGCTGGCACGTGCCCAGCGGGGATGTGACACGCACTCAGTGACGGGGCCCGAGGCCACCGAGTTGGGCTCCCGTGGCACCATCCCGCCTTACCCCACCATCACGGCCAGCATCGCGCTCACCCTTATGTCTCCACGGGGTGGCCGGGGCCCGGGAGCTCGCCCGCCCGAGGGAGGTCAGAGCTCAGGTGACGGCAGCGGGGCTGGGGGGCGTCTGGCAGGGGCAAGGGCAGGGGCAAGGTCCACGGGGAGGACGAGGCAGGGGAGTGGGCGACGTGAGCAGGGGGTGCTGGTGGGTGCCGGGAGCGGGCGACGCAGGGGGGTGCTGTAAGCAGGGGGTGCCGGAAGG